GGCATTGTGAAATCTGGTAGTGACGCCATTTATCGAGTCGAGAAAAAAATTCATAAGCATGTACAACCAACGTTTCACAAGAAATGACTGTGGATTTCGTTCCAACACTGCCAGACTATTATCATTGTCATCACTTCACTGCCGACGAAATCAAGCTGACCTGTTGTTTTTAACAAACTAGTTAACGTTATGATATCCTGCATTTTGCTGATTAGTTGTGTAAATTTTTTGATTCCGCGTAAATTAACCAAAGAAAATCCACCATTTTGTCTACCTGCACACTTTTTTCAACTCTCTACCACTCCCAGAATACAAAATCTATATAACTCAAACTTTCGTGTTCTAAGTGTTTTTCACAGTTCATTTTCATTGTTTCATCTTAGCTTTGCACTGTCTTAAGATATTTTTTTCATAATTTACAGATTCTTCCCTTTTCCGTGTTTCAGGAAGCCTTCCACGTACTCATGCATATTTCCCTTTATTTTTCACTGCTGTTCTATGATTCTCGTCTTGTCTTTTAATTTTTCCATTTTGCATAAGATTTTTTGGCTGCGTCTATGCTCTCTTTATTTAATTTCTTTATGTATATTTTATTGTGTTGTTTATCTTTATTATTTTATTTTTGTGTGTGCCTGCACAAAGACCTTATGCTATTACTTGGACACGTGGAATAAATCATTGATTGATTAAATTATAATATTTTTTCGGCTGCTAATGATCGTTTCTTTTTTTATATTTTTTGTGGGTTCTCGGCGGCTAACCCACTGGTTGCAGGATTGAATACCGGCCGCGGCAGCCACATTTTCGATGGAGGCGAAAATGCTTGAGACCCATGTACCTATAGACTTAGGTTCATATTAAGGAAACCCAGGTGGTCGAAATTGGCGGAGTCCTCCTCTATGGTGCATGTTATAATCATAGGGTGGTCTTATGACGTTACAACGCATCAATTACATTTCATCTGCGTATGAGTTTTGTTTGTAAATAACTAAAACAAAGCAAATTTATACACAACAAAATAGCCCGAATTGCAATATGTGCATCTCCTTCCCCCAGTCCTTGGTGATCTTTTTTAAACTACCGGATAAAACCCCATCGTCTATGTGTTTGCTGTAGATGCTTTCCATCTGCTGTGAATCCGTCCCGAGAAGAAGCCAGTTTAGGAGAGTGCACTTAGGAATGTCCGAAGTGACGACTATCAGTGAGGCTCATGCTTGGACAACATACTTTATGAGTCGCATTGAAGCATTGCCAAAAAACTTGCCTCTACGCTTATAGTAACATCGTGTGGTCGTGAAAACGTTGGCGTATATTGACTATGCAGCATGATAACATTATCTGTTGCAGTTGCTTATACCCATGAATACAACGGTAGCGCTTTTTCTGTTGCAGGACCATTTTATCAATGACAGAAAGCCTTGCGCTACGTATGCTGCACTGCGCGGCTCGTGTTCACAGTACAGGGGTGCGGCTTTCAACAGCGAAGCCACTGCATATTTTATCCACAGGTTAAGATTAAAAAAAAACAAAAGGGGGAGGGAACACACGGCAAAAGCTCGTGTGTTGTCCCGAGCACAGCTTTGGTGTGATGTGCTGTCGCCACTACACGAGTTTACTGAAACCAATTATTACAGGTTTCAGAACAAGTACCATGTTGAACGCTTTGCACCAGAAGAAAAACGACAACAAGAAAAACTACTGCTGTAAAGACAAATGATCATCTTAGGGTGCTTTGATGTATACCGGTAGCGTTCTATGTCAGAGTGCGGCGAAGTTCGCGCACGTGACCTCGTGCGCTATAGTGCAATCACGTATCCATTTAGTCATCGCGGAGCTTTTATTCAATCAAAAGAAGCTGATGCGCGACAAAGACGCGATGCAATAGCGATCCTTCGGTAGAAAACGTCGGGCGAATGAGCATTTCAAACGCGGCCACTGATCTGCCACTGCACGGTTCACCCACCACCTCTCTTGTCCATGTCCTGAACTTCCACACACTTGAAAAAGCGTTCGTTTGCCGCCGTGGTGGAGAAGTGGTTAAGATGCTCGGCTGCTTAACCATAAGTCGCCGATTCGATCCCGGCCGTGGCGGTCGCATTTCGGTGGAGGCGAAATGGTAAAGGCTCATGTACAGCTGTCAGTGCACGTTATGGAACACCAGTTGATCGAAGTTTTCGGAGCCCTCCACTACGGAGTTTCTTATAGGTATATCGTAATTTTTGGACGTCAAACCCCAGATATTATTAGGAAATGTTCGTTATGTTCGGGTAATACCATACGAACAGAACAAACCCTCTCCCACTCACATAAACATATCTCTTCGCCCTTGAATGCAACAGTAACCATGTTCTTACACGATGGGGCAGACCGTTCTCTGATTCACGACCTGTATAGCCGGACATGATAAGGCTCAACTGCAAGAAATCGGGCCACTCGGAATAAATCTACGGCACACTTATACACCGCATAATTTGGCTGCAGCCATATCACTTTCATAGGCTGTCTGAATCAGTGGTTTCATAACGCAATGCCTCGTGTATGCCTGTACAGCGCCTGAAGAATCCAATCAATAAACTATAGTTCAATAAGAAATGATGGCATAAGTAATTATGACAAGATATGAGTAGATTTCCATAATAACATGCAAAAATATATCACATCTCAAAGACCCATCGCAATGGTGCGGGATCCCAGCCACGGTGGCTGCATTTTGATGTCGTCGAAACGGTAGAGGCCTATGTGGTGTCATTTCATGTTAAAGAACACCAAATGGTAGAAATTTTGGTAACCCACCACCATGGCGTCTGTCATATTCATATCGTGATTTTGGGACGTAAAAGCGTAGATATCATCATTATAAACAACAGTGCGTGTAGCAAACCGTCAATTCTTTATCTTACTCGCTCTTTACCACGTTCTTATATCGGCGTCACCGAATGTGGGCGTTCACGTCACCAAGATTTCCTACATTTGGGCCACGTATCACGGTTCACCTTAATGAGAGTCACAAATAATCGATTGCATAACACCGCCTGCCACACATCGAAACTACTGGCGGCTTGCTGCTGCGTACGCAGCAATGCATGCAACGTTGGCACGGGACCAATGGTTTAGCGAAATTTGATCTATGCTAAGGCCAGGATATTGTCTGCATTCGAACAACCCACCCCCAGTTTTCTTATGATGTTTTTTTTTTTCCTGAGCCGTGCTTTTGAACTAGGGCTGCAGAAGTAGAGTCTTTTCCTTTCCTCAACCTCCCCTACTCGTTACAAAAAACGGCCTCGTTTACCATGGGGCTCACTGCGTGTGGACCGTAACGCATAGTTATTGTATGCTTAGAGGGGATAAACTTGCAACAATTCAATTCATCCTCCTCACAAACATTATGTACAACGGATGTCGTCGATACTCGGTATGTACAAGAGAAGACATCAATAGGTGGTGTCAGGCTTATAAAGCATTGTTATGTCTGTGTATATACCATAAACATGACATTGGTAATATCACTACCTCAGCTACCATTAAGAGAGAATAATGTATTCGAGGAATTTAGCCGACTGCGTAAACCGAGGGGAAGCGTTACGTAACAGGGGGGTTACAGTACTTTATATATATATATATATATATATATATATATATATATATATATATATATATATATATATATATATATATATATATATATATATATATATATATATATATATATATATATATATATATATATATATACCCTGCTCACAGCTTGTAATTTTTTCATCCACTTTTCTTTCCGCTTTCTTCTTATTTACATTCCATTGGTTCTAATAACTTCCCCTGTACATTCCTTGGCATTACTGTCTGTTATGTCTCACATATATATATATATATATATATATATATATATATATATATATATATATATATATATATATATATATATATATAGGCAGGCATGGTGGTTGAGTGGCCGTAGCGTTGCATATAGTCTAGTAGATCCTCCGTGAGCGGTCACAACGTGGTTTATTTCGACGTTTCGGCCTAGAGTCTAGGCCGAAACGTCTTGTATATTTATATATATATATATATATATATATATATATATATATATATATATATATATATATATATATATATATATATATATATATATATATATATATATATATATATATATATATATATATATATATATATATATATATATATATATATATATATATATATATATATATTCTAGTGTGCGTATGCATACGTGTACATATATGCAAACAAATTCGAAATGCTTCAGAGGGGAGGGGGCGGTGGTTGAACCCCCAACCCTGTTACAATATTATCGCATCCAGGTTAGGTGTATTATCCTTATATCCAAGCGTATACACTTTGATAAAGGGTTCTCCAGTGTTACGGGATTCCAGCCCAATGCACGTGCGTTTTCGCAATCGTATTTATATACTTCGACAAACAGTCGTCGGTACTCATTTCCTGCAAATTCACTAATAATCGGTAAAAAGTCTGTCCCGATGACATACTAAAAAAGCGTCAAGAGTACACACAGATTGTCAAGAATGCTGGAGCACTTAGGCGCACGTAAAATGTTTGCGGGAATATCGATACAATCAGTTTTTTATTGTACAAAACTGCTTGTATATTTATAAAATAAGTTCATATAAATAAAAATAGCAAGTCGTTGGGGTTATAGTTGATTCAATATCTCGCGTTGTGGAGAGCACAAGCGGTTTCCCAAAAAGCGTTTTTCTTGTCCCATGCTTCCAAACCACTTGTGAGCTCCCATACCCAAGAAGAAGAAAAGAAAACGAATATAATATATTTGTGCTTTTGTAAAGGAATCTCTCAAAAGACGCAACTGATTACATTGTGGAATTCAGGACCGATATAGCGTTAGCGTCAACCTAACACGTTGCTTGTTTCAATCTGCAAAGCTCGTACATGTATTCATTTACAAATACTAGTATTACATTATGTTTCAACTGCACAAACCTGAAAAAGAGTTCACTCACAATTTTCCACGGCGATGTAGGGACAGCCTATACGGCTATCCACAACGTCGTCGTCTTTCGTCGGTCGTCTAGCGTGGCGTGGATCCGTTCTGTGTTCTTCGCAGTGGCGAACCCGGCACAGACCAACGCAGGCCGCGAGTGTTACCCATCAGGACCGGAGGCGACGCGGTGGTAACTCGACTCGCGCGGCGGCAGAAAGTCGCAGCCTGCACCCGTCCGCGTTGCACGTCGACCGAGCTTTGTTTTTGTTCTCGATTTTTGTTCACTTTAAAGCGCGGAGGCGTTGAGAGCAGCGATATAAACACTTTTTTCATAACATTATCGGAAACAGTTCTCTATCTGCCAGGGGATGAGTTAAACTTGGCCCCAAAGTTCTGCCGCCCGTGTAAGTGTTAGAAATATTGATGTTTTCTTGGTCGCACAGCCAAATATCATTATGGTTTGCAGAAATCATCGCTCAGAGTTATAATGGGTTTTTACAATGATAGTGCTGGTAATTTTGTGATCAAAAAGTTTCTCGAATAAGCGCAGTGTACATTTCATGCATTTGTAACGACTCCACGGTTTCCGTCGGCGCGTTATACGCATTTACCGTCGTCATAAATTGGTCGTTGGTACAGCCGCCGTATACGCTGAGATTGCCATAAAAGGCCGTGGCTCGGGTATAGAAGCATCGTGTCGGCAACAACAGCAACAAGTGCTGGCGCGCCATAACGACTGGAGAGGCAAATCTGCAAACAGAAATTGCGTGCGTGCCAATTTCCAGGGCATTCCCATTCTGACGCAATTCGTTCTGTCGCCAAACAGACAGCTCACCGTTTTTGATGGTGTCAGCTATGATGCATCGTCTGGAGCAGAGGCGTCAACTACTGCTTAATGTTAACATAATTGAGTTGCTATATAGGTTTAAGGTGACATTTATCACCACACTTTTCGCGGACGATGAAATTATGTCAAGTTATAAAATTATAACTTTGGGCGGCAAAGACTTGGTAGAGTTCGCAAGGATAAAATGATATCAGCTTACACAAAATTGGATAAATTTAAATCTTATTAAAGGCATCTGTTCTACGAAGGAACTAGATTATGAGCTGATAAATATAATGACAATGACTTGATTAGAAATGAAATCTACGGTAATAAAGAGGGCACCGTTAGTCTTACTCGCTTTCATTCCTGCAACATGCATGCGCTTTTCTTTGTTCCCTCTTTCGTTACATAAGTAAACGTGCCACTTCTTAAATAAATAATGCCTATCATTTTATTTTGATAAAACTTAAACATATTCGACGCCAAAATCTTTAAAAAATGCGCTGAACTCAAAATACGAAAATACGGCTAACCATACGTAAAGTTATTCAGAAATATGTCTTAATTGGCGTGAAACGACGTGTATGTTTTGATGGACCTATGATGAGTGATACTGACAAGCGTCAACCAACCAATCTAAGCAAAAGAAACAAATCTAACGTACCCACATGACCTCATTTACCAATATACACCGATTGAACAAGTAATTAATTTACATTTATTGAACAGGTAATGTGCATGCACATCGTGAACATGTATTCACATGATCAGATAAATGCATTTACATGGTGCACTGTGGACTTCTATCAGGTTCACTCAGCTCCCCATTGTCAGACCACGCATCTTTCTTTCCTACATGTCGATAGTTTGCGGTTGCAAAGTGTGTATGGTGTTTGCATGAATATGCACATTTTCTTTCTCTCGTGTGCAGAGACAAGGCGGCCCCACTGGCAATACCGTGGCAGAACACTGCAGCAGCTCATGTGGCTGGCATGAAGCAAGCATTGGCAAGACGAAAAAAAAAGCCCCACTTTATCCCAAGCATCGACGGGTGACAGGTGAGGGGACGGCGCCGAATACAAACACCTACCCTCAAACAAATAGACTTCACAGTAGATCTATCGCAAAACACCGTGAAAAATATCCGCGGTGCAACTGGACCTCGACACCAGAACGCATCATTTAGCAGTAGAGCTAGCTTCCGGCAGACGCCGCTGCATAGAGACAGGCTCGTAAGTGGGTTCTGCGAGAGGCAACTCTCCGAAGTGCCCTTGGCGAGCCCATCGGCCACCCTTGACCATGCAGGCTGGGTGGTAGTCAGTGACGGGCTCCACTCGCTCTAACCAGGAAGCCTTATTTTATTATTGTTGTTTCACGCTAGTGGACGCGGAGGTTCATTGCTTACTTACTTTCAGTGCGCGAGAACGTGAACACTCCCAAATGACTAGGAGAAAAAAGGTAGGCAAAAGATACAGGTACGTATAGTTTCAGGTCGTCAAATTGTTTGTTTGTTTGTTTATTAATACTGTCAACCCCAGCTGGGGTTTTTACAGGAGTGGAAAACAAATGAAAGAAATGGTCATGAAATACGTTACAAAATAGAGACATACAGCGAACACAGGTATTTACACTAAAAGACAAAGTTAAACACAGGCATGTGCACTTGCATTCTGCGCATAGAAAACAACAATTAACAAAGCGAGAGGCAATATACATTGACATCGTGAATTATGACGCATCTATTTCGGAGAAAATAAGCGATTCTAAAGCTGCAGAAAACGCCGTGATAGAGGAAGACATCGCGACTTTGTTTGGTAGTTCATTCCATTCTTTAATTGCCCTCGGAAAGAAGCTGTATTTAAATGCGTCGTTTCGGGTGGCTGGTGGCTGTATATATAAAGTGTGTTTGTGTCTAGAGCGCACATTGTAATGTGCGTAACAGGTAGTTTTGATAAGGATGTCTTTGTACAAGCGCTACCGGTGGAATTTGGGTTTTACCCGGTGACAAAGTATCCGGAGAATTATTTTAATGGTGATGAAAGGAAGAGCAGGGACGATTATTTCCCTCACAACAGACCACGTGCAAAGCGTCTGAAAGTAATTACGTGACAAGCCGTATACGCAGAAGAACACGTTAGCGCTCGTGATCCTCTTGTTGATCACCTGCAGGACTTGCTCTCTTTATCTTTCCTTGTTTCTTTGTTTTTCGAATCACCCGAAAACACCATATAAGAGACGAAACAGCGCGGCGACGGCCAGCGGTGCGCCTCCGCACACCACGGAGGCGCTGCCCCGCAGCAGGACGCCCCAATGACGCGCCGAGCCTTGATGGCTATTGTGCAAGCGCTTGCAACCTGTCTGCGTCAACGGTGGCCTTCTGTCGCGCCCATCGTCTCTTAACGTAGAATTCCATTTGCACCGGTATGCGGCTGCCGATCTATGTATGCAAGTACAAGCGTACGAGTTTCTGCTTCGAGAAAAAATGTCATACACCTCTTATGTTTGGACGGAATCAGGACGCTTTCCCGTTCACTCACAGCACTCAGTCATCACGTAAATGAGTTTTGTTCAAAGCAGTGAGCAGTTTGGCTACCACGTAGCTCATATATTGGCAGCGCCCAAATGGTTACGACAATGGTGTTTAATACCTGGTGTTTCTGATGAACAGTTCTTTTCCTTTCTTTCCCCCTCTTTCTCTCTTTTCAGAGAAACCGTCACGCTTTGGCCATTGTCGCTCTTCCAGATAGGCGGAGGGGATGACAGACAGGAGAGTGGCCAAAAATTTGTTTCGGGGGAGAAAGGGGTTACCACCCTTTATTTAACTTATTGGGTGCATTTATGCGCATGCGTGTATTACAAAACGTGTGAAATCAAAATAATATGGGGGGGTAGACGTGAAGGGGGGCACAAATGTCACCTTCTAGCTTCGCCGATGGTAGCATACATTGCCATCCGGAAAAAAATGGCTCGAAAAAAATACATCTCGGATCCACTCGCGCGATTGGTGTTTGTTCCTGCCACTTCTAAGTAGCTTTCCACTCGGCCAGCATACTTAACTGCCGCGCGCGAACAGAACTAGCGCTTTATTTTTATTTTTCAAGTGGGGCGGACATATTCTTCTCTCATTGAAGGAACCAATAGAGAGGAAGGGAAACCTGCATGTTTGTTTCCGCACGCAATATTTCATGGCCACCTGCGCCGCTGTAGCTCAGTGGTAGAGCACTGGTCTTGTAAAGCAGGGGCGTGAGTTCAAACCTCACTGGCGGCAAGATGTTTTTTTTTTCTTGAGAATTAGTTTGTTTCTAGAAACGGTCTGTGAGAGAACATTTACCAAAGAGCGAAAACATAACGGTATGCACGTAGCTCAAGTCAAGTTTTACATGGGATGCATCTTGCGTTATCATCGTATAACCTGTACAATAAATTCATTTAAATATGTTACATTTAATTGGCCATTGAATCTTTCACATTTTTTCTGAGGTTATTAGAAACAATATTCAACATTCATTCAAAGGTTTTGGTAAACGTGCCTTACCAATTTATTTTAGATTTAGTACTAAATATGACTTTGTAAATGAAAAGCATGATATCAAGTGTGTTTTCAACAAGAACGCAACGTTGATAAAGTCAGTAAAAATACAAACAAATTACTGCGTATCTCCGGCATCGGTCCACCTGCCCTCAGTGCAAAAAAGAAAAAAAAAACTGCACGCCGACTTTGAACCCCTTCCTCTCAGCTCTCGTCCTTCAGCTTCTTCCTTTACTTCACATTAGATGTAAAATTGCATTAATAATACAAAATAATGAAGTTGGTGAGCTAACCAGCGAATCCTGCATAGTCGCAAAATGCATGTCAAGGGAGTGAAATATTACAAAGTCCGAAGCTCTGTCCACTCATGATGGTGCACATTTACCACATCATTTGATGTCACTTCAATGCGAGCCCCGTTTTAATAATTTATTCTTCTATCAATTTCAAACTCTATTTTGTAGCACTCAACTTAATTATTTCAGTAGGCATTTATGCCAGGAAGAGCATGACGGGCAATACTTGTTTTGAATTCTACTACAGTATTTATCACATGAATTGAATGAACTATTGTTGACGAAAAGCACCCTTTCTGTTGGTATAGTGCCCGAATCCACAACCTACGAATAACGCAACCGATGCTTTACCGATTGGTCTAGCACGAATCGTCACTATGTAGTGCTGTTATTCTTTATTCGTGCCGGAAGCATCTTAGTGAGACGGGGGCAATGGCTTTGATATTAAACTTTCTTCTTCAATGATGAGACTTCCTTTGCAAGAGGTATAATGTGGTTCAAAGTAGTTAGGGCACTCTGCACCTT